GTCCGCTGTTGATGACCACGATGAGCGTCTTGGGGAGCGTCGCGGGCGAGAAAAGCGTGACGGACTAGTCGAGCCCGGTGAAGGTGACCCGGAAGCGCGACCATGCAGCGAGCGTGGCAACGATGACGAGCTTCCGTGTCCGCGGCGACGAAACACAGGTACATTGTGTGGAAAGCGTTGCTAGAGATGACCTTTAAGGTGAGGAGCGGAACGACGAAGAGGGCAATGAAGCGGTTGATCCCTGCACACTCGTTCACCATTGCATGCACAACAAGTGCTTCCTCTGCGCCTTGTAGAAGGAAGCGGAGGGCTGCCCGGTCCCCTACACGTGGTGTGCCTCCGATCCACGACGCTCGGGTGCCGCTTGAGGTGCTCCCGCATCACGCCTTCCCCCTGATTGTGTGTCGGCCGAGGCGCTCGGAGGATTTATGTTGTGTGAGGACGACCCAATTTAGATTTTTAACAGGATTTTCTAGAAAGCATGGCAAATCACGCCGTCCCAATTCAGATTTTTGACAGGATTTGTCATGCTTGCTAAAAAAATTGCCATCCTCACAACAACATAGATTGCCACGAGGCACGACAAAAACAACCCACTTACTAGGCCGGCACGACCTGCATACGACTAGAAAGCCAACCTCTAGTTGGGCCAGGATGCAGGCCCGTACGGCCCATTAGGGCCCACAGGACAGATGACTTGCAATAGGCCCACAAAGGCCTGCTTAGAGAGGAGCTTGACACGGTAGCCGCGGTGGGGCTTATAAACCGGTGCGAGCTCCTCTCAACTAGCGAGGTGGGACTAAACATTGTGCACTGCGAGTGACAGCGCACCACTTTAGTACCGGTTGGTGGCACGAACCCGTACTAAAGGGGAGTCTTAATTACCGGTTGGAGCCACCAACTCGTACTAAAGGCCACCACCTCTTTAGTACTGGTTCGTGGCATGAACCGGTACTAAAGATTCGCCACGAACCGGTACTAATGAGCGCCGCCCGCCTAGCCGTTGCAACCGGCACTAATAATCACATTAGTGCTGGTTCAATTACAAATCGGGACTAATGAGCTTCACATTAGGCCATTTTTCTACTAGTGATATTATACACACTATAAACAGTACTAATAAATGTAAATAGCCTGGCTAGCAATCTTCAACCTAATAATCAACAGATGTTCCGGGGGTGAGAAGGAAAAAGTGCAATGAAAGAATGACAGCATTCCCTTTCAAAAAACATGAATTACACGATGCCATCCATGGAACCTGTTTACAAGTTTACTGTTACACCAATCTTTTCTTCTCTGTCCAATAGAAAACCAAACATTACAAAAACGGGCACACCATTCATTCATTCAGGCCAAACCGATCGAGCTGAATTCCTCGACCACCACCAAATGGAGCATGTATGCATGCACGCGCGCGAACGTGTCTCGCACGCACGGGCCAAAATCGCCAAGGATCTGAGCCGTAGGCTACTAGCACGTGGGGATATCGGAGGGTGGAGGCGGCAGCTTCTGGTTCGGCAGCGGCCCGTCGTTGACAAGCCACGCCATGGATAGGCCCCAGCTCAGGTGTACGTCCAGGTGGCAGTGCATGATCCAAACACCTATCACAAAAGTCAACAGCTCAATCAATACTGCAGCAGTCAACACAAGTCAACAGTTGAGCCAGCGAGTGGAGTGGTGGTTAGTTTGACCTACCGGGGTTGTTGGCGACGAAGCGGATGGCGACCCAGCCGGCGGTGGGCACGCTGATGGTGTTCCGCTGCACCGGGTCGACGAGGTTGTACTTGGCGGTGTCGTTGGCGGCGTCGTAGTTGCCGAACCCCGTGCCGACTACGTGGAAGTCGTAGCCGTGCAGGTGCAGCGGGTGGCTCTCGGCGCCCTGGATGCTGGTGTCCTGCAGCACCACCTCGACGGAGGTGTTGAAGGCGAGCGGCACCACCCGGGTGCCGTGGGTCACGAACGTGTTGTTGGGCGGCGTGCCGGTGTAGTTGAACTTGCGCAGCGGCGCCGCGGGGAAGTTGGCCGCGAGCACGCCGTTGTACCGGCGCTGGTAGTGCGCCTGGAGGAGCGACGTCTTGGGCATCACGAACGACACGTTGTTGATGCTCGCCGCGAACCGGGTGTTGTTGGGCCCCTGGCACGTCCCGTTCACCGGGCTCTGGCACGGGTCGGCGCCCAGCCCCACGGCGAAGAAGAAGCTCCGGTCCACACTCAGCGGCACCCGCGCCGGGTACCGCGCGCTCGCGAGGCTCCGGAAGTTGGACGAGAAGTTGGTCACCGCGCCCGTGTCGTTGTACCGCGGGAGGGGCGGCGCCGGGAGGCCGCGGAGCGCGGCGGGCCTCTGCGGGGCGTACTCGAGGACGGCGATGGCGGTGGTGTTGTCGAAGGTGCCCACGGTGTTGGTGTAGGGCGCGACGGCGATGGCGAAGGCCGTGGAGGACGGGTTGGTGGCCGCGGTGAGGAGCACGTCCATGGTCTGGCCCGGCGAGATGACGAGTGTGGTGGCGGCGAAGGGCTTGACGTAGCTCGCGTCCGCCTGCACGACGGTGAGTGTGTGGTTGGCCACCGCGAAGAAGAGCTCGTCGTTGAGCGCCGCGTTGATGAGCCGCAGCATGTACGTCCTCCCGGGCTTCACCTTGAGCTTGAACGTGCTGTTGGCGCCGCCCGAGCAGTTGTACGTCGGGCCAGGGAAGCCGTTGAAGGTGTAGGCGTCGGACACGTTGGGCCCTCCGCCGGTCTGCAGCGCCTGCTTGATCACCGCCTCCGGGTCGGCGTTGAACCACTCACCTACCGACGGACCGGGCACGTTAGTTACACTCGAACACACACAGTGACAAAAATGGCGGGAAATGGGGTGGAGGTGTGACGTAGGACGTAGGAGACGTACCGAGCATGAGGGGGACTTCTCTGTAGGGCTTGGGGAAGGGGTAGGGGACGCCGCGGGGCGGGAGGATGACGAGGGGGCCGTGGAGGGTGGCGCGGAGCCAGGAGAAGTGGGCGTGCCACCAGAGGGTGCCGCGCTGGCCGACGATGCGGAAGTTGTAGACGTAGCTCTGGCCGGGGCGCATGGGGCACTGGGTGATGTAGGCCGGTCCGTCCGCCCAGGCGCTCCGCAGCTGCCGCACGCCGTGCCAGTGGAAGGTGACGTTGTTGTTGATGTTGTTGTGGACGTTGACGATGAGCCGGTCGCCCTCCCGCACCGTGATCCTCGGCCCCGGGAACCGCCCGTTCACCGTCGGGATGCTCTTGGTCGTGCACAGCCGCGTCACCGTCGCCATCGTCACGTTGAAGGTGTAGCGGCGGGTGAGGCCGGCGGTGAGGGCCGGCATGGCCAGGAGGAAGGCCAAGAGGAGGCATGCAGGGGAGGCGCACCGGAGGCGCCGAGCACCCATCCCCATTGCCATTGTGCAGCTAGCTAGCTTCCTGCTGGCCACACTTCAACTCCTGGATCAATTAGCTATGTAAAGCTAGATAGATCTCTGCAGGAGCTGCAAGGGAGGTCGATGGTTAGCTAGAGTGGATGGAGGTGGTGAGTGACATGAGTAGCTAGGGTTCGAGTGGCTATATAAACGGCCGGCGGCAGTGCTCCTGCTCGTGGTGGCGTGCATGGTAGGGGGTCACCCAGTCATAGTGGTTGGCTGGGTTTGGTGGGCGTACATAGAAATATTGTCACATAGGGCCGCTCCCCGCTAGCTCTTTCTGCTCGACTGACCGATCTTTCCAGCCACCGGATCGGATCCATTGGCCCTGAGAGTGGTTGCGTCCGACGATTCATCCGTCGACCGGTGTAAGTTGACGGCAGACTACTTTTTTGTTTCTGATTCTGAAACCTAGGAAACGCTATGATGGCGAGGAATGTTAATTTAAGCACGCTACTTCATGTGCACCATTGAGCTGTGCTGACATGATGGTGCACCAAAACGAAGGCATGTCTTGGAATATCAGTTTCTCTCTTTTTCTTTTTCTTTTTCTTTTTGCGAGACTTGGAATATCAGTTTCGTTCTCAGCTAAAAGCAAAAGCCTGCAATAGCTGAGAGTTTCAGCAAAGCTTGGTGGAGGAAATTGTCGATGGGGTAGAAGATGATCAACATTTTTACCCCAGGCAGTATGATGTATGCATCTACTCGTACTGTATTAACTCCATGCAGAACACCAAAAAGTGGACGATGCAGGAGTGTTGAGTGTATATGTCGTCTGAGTAGTCTGAATGTGGACAAACTGTTGCAGACCTTAAGCTGGTGGCCTGCCATTAATCATTGAAACTAGAGGTAAATGATAATCTCATAATTGTTCTGTACCACTAGTTCACACGGATAATTCAATATGGTGGCATATCACTTCTGAACTGAAGGCACGTGAAAGCCTCATGTGACCTTCACTGCGAATGACAAAAAAACTGTTTAGCCTTTTATGGGGGCTAGCTTTTGCTTTCTTTTTTCAGAGAAACTGCTGGTTTCCTGCAGCGCCACATATTCAATTATATCAATTATTCATGGAGAATGCAGATTCCTTTGTGAACTTCTCAAGTTAACTATGGCCCTCAGGGTCAAATCCGTAACCACCTTTGTTTAAGCTTTTCATTTGCCGTCCTCTTCTCGATCTTGTGTTGTCGGAATAAAATTAGATCACTGTTCTCTGAAAAATATATTCTATTTGAAGCTCTTTTTTATCTGCGTGTCATGTGTGTGACTGTGTATGCTGCTCGCTTGTTGCTTAGAGCTGCGTGGTTGTTGCAGTGGAGCTCGCTGCTTTAGCCCGATTGGATGTGCATTGTACCCTATGTGATCTGATCTGGTCTTTTTGACTGGGACCCAATTAAAGCGTCGCGTTCAGTCTTGGTAACCAAGGTACACACCCGAATAAACGCCAAGCCTAATGCTTCAAGGCGAGATTACCTCGGAATGGATATGAATTAGTATTCCTAATGTATGCGTAGCAATCAGTAGCAAATCACAATGGAAGCTCTTCTGCGTCTAACTAATCAATCGCGCGTCACTTTATCTTAGGTCATTTTATACGGCTCTGGCACTAGTGGTATTTTAGCAGTAACTAGCTAAGCATGAAACACTTGCTTGCAAGAGCGTAAAGTTTGCAGTTCATTAAGGTTAGGCCATTGGTTCATGTATAATTAAGCTCTGTCGTATGTTTGCCGCCGACTGCTGTTTATAATATTTTAGAAAAAAATGTTTGCCACCCAGGAAAAAGAGAGGAGAAAACACGGACGGTAACAACTAGCCCTTGGTTTGCAATTGCACCACCACACATCTGCAGTGCAGGTAGATCGATGCCAGCAGGAGATCTTCACGTTGGTTACGATGTGACAAAAAAACATCTGCGGCCAGTTAGTTGCGACGCAAACGTCTCGCCGTTTTTTCGCGTCGATCTGGCTAACTATCTTCAAGTTGAAGTATCATCACCAGACACTCTCTTCAGTCTTGGCTCACGTCGCCTGGGCGTTTGGCGTCATGGAGCGAGTGGTTGGCCATGCACCCGCGCTTCGCTTCCCGCGGCCGTACGTGTCTTCCTGCTGTATCCAACGAACCCGTCGGCTTTCCACGGGCGAGGCGTCGGGGCCAAGCTTACGGCCGGCCGATCGTACGAGGCCGGCAGTAGATATCTTAAACTACGATTCGGTCAGTCTCGGGTTGCCATCGGAGTATCGATCGCCTCTCAGCTAGCTGCTGCGCGCGCATGGTGGACGTGCTGATGATTGCGCGTCTGGTCGAGCCGGGGTTCGATCGCATCATCGCCCGGGAGAAAAAGAGGAGAAAGAGAAAACCCCCGGGAAAACTACTCGTGACCCGCCGGCAAAGCATGGATGGATGGCTACGCCTCGTTTGTTTTAGCACACAAACCAAGTTCTAGAAAACAAAGGGCATTGCGCATCGGTGGTATTTCCGACGTAGTGATTGCTGATTATAATCAAGTTCACCGATTCCATGCCGTTTGATTCTGTTCGGAGATTCGTGCACTGCCATCCCCGCCCTCCTCTCCGGGTGGATAGGCTTGAGTTCAAGGATCAGCCTAGAGGGGTCTTTGGAAATTTGCCAAAAATGTAGATGTAATTTCAAAAAATTATGAAAAAGACAATCCCCGCTAGTTAGGTCAAGGGATCGTCTTTCTCTTCACATTTTCTTGATCTAACTAGCGTTTTTACCCAAAAATTCACTCCGCATTTGACTAGAAAATCAAATCCAATTTTGGTATTATTTGTACAATAACCTTTTCTAAAATTTTGCCATGAAAATGTATAGTTGTCACGATACAATTAAAATTTCATGATGCAGCTAGTAAATTTGCCTTGATATAAGCAGACTTTTCTCTACATTTTCCATGTTCTTGCCATTTTTTTAATCATATCGTGCCGCAACTTGGGAATTGATCGATTTTTTGTTGTTCTGATAAGGTGTGATCATTTTATCTAGTTTGGTTAATTTTTTCATGGCAACTAAACACACTTCTACAATGCAACTAAACATACTTTTTCTACGGCAATTAATCATTTTTTGTCAGGGCAACTAAAGATGAATTACCATCAAACTAGTGATCAAGAACAAAATATAGGTGCAATTACCAAAAATAAGGCATTCTCTCCTAATTGTTGTTTTAATAACCCCACCAATTTTCGACGGCTACTTGTTTCGAAGACGTATTTTCTTTTCTTTTCCATGGTTATTCGTGTGTCAATAGGATGACAATTTCACCCTCAAACCCGATATGTGTCGCCATGACAACCATACAACAATTACTTTTTATGCCAACCATATGACAATTACCTTTTTAGTTGGTCCCTCGCAACTTTTTAGATAGGTATGTCAAATTAGGCGATATAGTTTCACGAGGATGAGTTGCACACTCTCATTTTGCCATGAGTTGATGGCACTTTTTCATGAATATTGCCATGTGAACATCACAAACTTTGAATTTGCCATCATGTACATAACCAAATAGTTCTAATTTTGACATGCGAAACACCACAACATTTTTCTAAATTTCCATCATGTGTGGAAACAAAAATATTCTAAGTTGTTATGTGACCAGTGCAAACTTAAGTTGACATGCCTTATAAAACATTTTTCTCCAAAGTTGCCATGATGTCTACAACAAAATTTTCAAAAATTACTATGTTTCCATGATTATCCAGATTTTATATGCAAATAACATGACTTGCCTTCATGTTCAATTACATTTGCCATGAGAATTTTTATGTATTCTCCTACAAATTGCCATGTTTTATAAAACATAAATCTAAACTTTGCCATATCACAGTTTTTTTCAGTTTGCCATGATTTAGGAAATTAATCTGTCTAAAATTTTCATGTGTTTTTACAATTCCTTGCAGGCTCTTTTGCCTTCATTCATGAAAATTAATTTATCAAAAAAAATCATGTCACCATTGCTAACATGTTTTCTAAAATTTCTCATGCTTTTTAATGGATAAATCCTTACTTTTATCATAATTTTGGCTTTCTACCTTTCGTAACATCTTCTAGTCTTTTTTCTTTAGAACTTAAGTTCCCATGATTTTATATTGACTATTTTTGAACAAATTTTGCAATGAATCATAACATGGCAATGTTATTAACATGATGATTCCATGCTAGATTATTGACACTTGTCCTGTGTCCCACAACTGGCATCCTTCAACACAGATTTTGGCCATGCTATTTTTTGTTTCTATTTTTGATAATACTATTTTGAGATGGAATTTCTATTACCCCTGCAAATTATATGTATTCTTTTCATGTCAGTTATATTATTTACATCATGGCGGTTTCATTGTATGCACCATGCCAAATTTTCTGCATATCATCTATTTTTTATCATGGTGAATCTCATAGTTATAGCATGGCAATTTTTTTACAATCAACAATGAAATTTTTAAAATATTTTTTAACCATGGAAACTTTGTCCTACTCATGGTGGCAAATAATAAAATTAAGTCATGTTTAGTCAATAGACTTGGCACGACAAATTTGTTATAATCAAAATGTCATTTTTTTTCAAATTAGTTTTAGCACTTCTAAAACTTCATTCATAATCCTAGTGGAAGACAATTGCATTACATCATGGTAAATCCACCCGTCATAACATCATAATTTTTTCTTCGAATGATTGCAAATTTGTGTCTCTAACTTAACTAGTTTTTGGTTTGTGGAGGAACATAGTAGTTGGGTTGAGGCAGAATTACATTTGTTTCTCTATTTTCTTGTACCATCTTTGATTTTTATGCTCCTATATGCATGTTTCACTTTTCATGTGGCAGATTTAGTTTCTTACCGATAGCAATTTTTGGCACAAACAACATTGTTACTTCCCACAACGTAGTTCCCTAGTATTGCCAAGTTAGATATTTTTTGTCAATCTAGGGATGACCCAACCGAATAAGCATATTTGTTGAGAT